CTCACACATTTTCTTTTACAAAACAGAATCAACAACTCAGTGTTAGTGAAATTAATCTCCTCCTACAGAGTATTGGTGGATAGCTTATAAAAATGGAGAAGCAATAACTGGCAGCAGTATGACCATGCTTTGCATTATAGCAGGTTGTCCTGACATGAAAACACATGTATTTCATAGCTATCTGGCTTATGCTTGAAGAGCTTACCATTTTAATTCTTCTGTGCACTGAATTTCTTTGCCTTGAAGAACTGAAGGCAAAAGCAATGCTAATTGCTGGGAGCAACAAGCTAACCATAGAAGTTTTTTTAAAAAGGGGTAGGAGGACCTGGGGTAAACTTGTAGGACAAGCAAATGACATTTAGTTGTACAAAAAAAAAAACCCCAGAAAAACAAAAAGCCAGCAATACATACTTGGGCAGCTCCTCAGCTATCTTCAGTAGCATATGGTTTGGTAGCACATACCTGCAACATAAAGAGCAGTAGCAATGATAACATGGCATTCTGTTAAGTGTTAATCAGACTTGTTCACAAAGAAATTTCATGGGTACAAAACAAAACAACTTTTACCACTCTGCAACAGATACAAGTGTTGGAGTCAATTAAGGAGAAATACATCAGGACTGATCTAGAGAAGCACAGAGGCAACACCCACTCTTGCCCAATATGTGGTTTCTGATTTGAGGTGTAAGAGAGCGGAAGAACAGATGGGAAGAAGTGGTGCCAGTAAAGCACTGAGTCTTTTACTGGACAGCATCTTAGATACAGAGGAAGCACCCAAATCAACCACTCTTAGCAGATCCAGTGTTTTTTTCTATGAGCTGTACAGCTCTGCAGAGATCCATTTAATACTGTGTCTAATGAATGACTTCCTACCCTGTACTCTCATCCTCTTGGCGTGACATTTTGTCCCTCCAGGCAAATAGCAATTTAAAAGCGGTTAGCTGCTGTGTGTTGAGATGCTTTTTCTGTCTCCTGTAGAGCTCAAGGTAGGAGTCCTCTGAGAAGATGGGTTTGATGTATTTCTGAACAAGAAGAATGAGAGAGATTGGTGATCAATATCAATCAGAGTCATGTACAAACTCCCTTTAGCACTTCCAAGGCTGTGTTTTCTCAAAGCACAGAGAATCAAGCACCCAAGAGAAGACTGGATGGTTTGCCACACTGGCTAAAGAACTCAGGACTGAGAAGCACACTTAACATTTTACCTTAAGCATTTGGTGTTGACATGTTTTAGATCCATCCATGCTCATTTTTGCATTTTAATTCAGATATATGAGCCAAGAAAGTTTCCGAGTTCAAGAGCAGCAGAGAGATATCAGATCTTTAAGCCTTGGTAGATCAGAAAAATCACTCCCCTCTTGTTCTCACTAGGCAGCAATTATTTGCCATAAAGTTACAAGGGCCTCCAATTTGGGGCTTTCATTAGGGGTATCCAGAGAAATATGAGTAAACATGGACTTGAAAAGTATCAGCCTCTTAACATCTACAGGCTGATTTCGACCAGCAGCAGCAATTTTGAAGACTGTAAAAGGTCTAGAACACTTAGAGATCCCTTAGCTAGTGGAACAGCTGAGCCCACACTAGGTGGGAGCGGAGTGAGAGTGCAAGCCTGTAAGACTATTTCCAGATATAAATATTGAAAATTAGGGATTCTGTCAGAAGGCACAAACGTGCACGCTTCCCATCCTAGATATTCTGTATTCTGACCCAGATAATTGGTTCCCAGGTGAAGATTTACCTTCAGGCAGATGTCTCTGCTGCGCTGCCACACCACCTGCAGCTGAGTGGGCTGTCCATTTCCTCTCTCCCACAATGCCTCTCTCACTTTATCATAAATGTAGAGAAGGTAGTGAGTGTCATCTCGGGCGTACTGAATCATTTCCTCTGGCAAAGGGCTGAAAGCAGAGAACTATCACTGTTGCACAAATGGGTTTTAGTAGCCCATCCATCATCCCTGCAGTGCCCTCTGCCACAGCATGAAAAGACAAACTACATCTGGGGTCCACCCCAAGAACAAATCCAGAAATTCACTAGATACCTTTAATCAGAATCTCATTTGTGGGCATTATTACAATGATTTTCTTCACCGGACCTCTTGCCTATATCTGGGAGACTTGCCTACATCAGGATTCACTGGGGAGCTATTCAGAATCAGATGGTAGGGGACACCTTGTATAGTAATGTGGCTACCACAGTACACCTGCATACTGCCCCAGTGCTCTTCGCGGACGTGCAGATCGTGCTGCAGAGAGCATTCTCCAACCTATAACCTATCACTCGGTTCCTGCACTGATTTACATAGGGTTTTGGCTGGAGTTTTACAATTTTTTAGCTATGCATTTGCTACAACAGAATTGCAATTTTAGAATGCTAGGCTGAGCAATGCAGAGAAGGTGGCAGCAATTACTTCTTCAAAGAGGTGGCAGCTTGTCATAATATTACACTGCAGTTAAGCACTATTCCTTCTGCATTAAGGCAGCTTTCAAAAGTCTTTTGTTGTGCTGATTTTAAAACACGTATGTTATAGCATTTGAAGAGCTTAATGCTCACCAAAATAAGGGGCTGAAATAGATAGCGCCAAGCACAGTGTACTGTAGGCAGGAGACGTACATACCAATCTCAACCCTATTCCACAAGTCTGCTAATGCATGTCAGCTCTGTTTTGAAGCCCTTAACTTTTATTCCAGTCCTTCGGCACCACAGTACTAACCCAAAATCCCAGTGAATTAGGTGTTTTGGAGGTAGTTGAGAAGTGAAACATTCGCCCATTAACATGTAAACAAGTCCCAAATGTGACCCTTAATTCTACTGCCAACATATCAGAACCAAACTTTTACCGAATCCTCCAGTCAGCTAGCTGATACCGCTTGTCAGCTTCTACTTGACAATAGAGTTTTAGCAAGTGGTCCAGGGAGTGTCTGCCAAGGTTGAGGAGACGGGCAGCCTGGTGAGTATCAAACATATTCACTAAATACAGACCAAAGTCTTTCTGTAGCCACTCCACATCTGAGTCGGCACCATGAAGGACCTGCAAAGCAACACAGTAAGATGCATCAGAAACAAGAATGAAAGATGGCAGACTGGCCTTTGGGATTATAGGAAAACCAATTTCACTCAGGGGTCCAGAGGCGTAGTTGCACCAGAATCAGAAAGTTGTGTCTTGGACCAAGACCTCTTTTCTGGCTTTTCTCCTTTCATTGTGAGTGGCACAACAGCAAGTACCTGGTGTCACCCAGACCATGTTTCCACACACAGTCCTCTCAACCGACAACTGATAAACTACTGAATATTTATTTCCCCCCTCATCTCCCTTCCCAAAATATACAGTAAATCAGAAGTTTGGAGCTAAGAAGATGCCTGCTAACTTCAATCACAATTTATGGTGCTCCCGGTCCACTCCCTCCTGCATTTACACCTTTTTATTTAGCAGGCAAGCTCTTTGGGGGCAGGGACCTTGTCTTCATACTTGTCAGTAAAGCACCTATAGTCATGAATATCAGAAATGGTACCTGGCTAAGAGGATTAAGCATGTTTTTGGACAGGGCTAAGGCAAAAGTAAGTTCTCCTGGCATAATTCTGAATAGGTCGCAAGCATCTACTGACCTTCACAATGGCAGGGTCTGTGAAGGCCTCATTTAGAATATACATGTCACTACGCAGCTCCAGGGTGTCAATAATGAAATCTTCCATCCGAGTGGAAATCTGCATCAGACAAGTCAAGCCCAGGAAACTCCTATAGGAATGATGCTACCAGACAAAGAACAGAAGTTAACTTAGGGTATGTCTAGCACTGAAGAGTTTTAAAAAAAAAAAAAAAAAAAACACCTTCACTTATGTCCACACTGCAAATGCGTTTTCAAAAAAATTCGAAAGTACAGATGGGTTTTTCCGACATTGGTAAACCTCTTTCTACGAGAAAGAAGCCTTTTTCCCTAAGAGCTCTTTCGGAAAAAGGAAAAAGCACAGGTGCCCTGGTGGCCATTCCATCCATAGTAGTCATAGCTGAAATGCAAGATAATTCGAAAAAGCAGGTTGCTTTTTCAATGCGCTTTTGCTGTGTAGATTCTCTCTTTCAGAAGATTTTTCAGAAGATCTCTTCCGGAAAAACTTCTTGCGAAAGAAGCCTGCAGTCTAGACATAGCCTTAGAGTCCTTGCAGGAATGGTACTATGAAACAGAGTGATCAAAGGCAGAGGAAAATGCAAAAAATTAAGGATTCTTCTAGGCAAAAGTTAATGACATGAACAGATTTTGGGTCTTTGCAATCATTGCTACTGTCTTAATAATACATCATCCAAATTAATTTTGAATGTGGTCCTTTCCATGGGGCTCAACATAACCCAGAGGGTCACAGGAGTAATTCAAAATACACGATACTCAATACAAAGCTTATTACAACAGAATCAAGTCTGAGAAGTTAAAATGTCATGCAGCCCTCTGGATAATACAATGTAATAGATGTCCTACGTTGGACCTGGGACATATCACCTAACTCAACATACAGAGGATATGGTACACAAAAGCAAAAGATGAGGAGAACTAGGATAATAAAATGTGACCTACTAAGTGCTAACTCAACATACGCAATTTAAAACAAAAAGCAACACGCTTACCTCCAGATCCACAGCAAATTCTTTGCAGCTTACAAGTTTTTCATTCAGTTCTACCAACTCATCCAGGGTGGAGATAAAATGGCAGGGTGTATCCTGAACAGGCCTGTACATCTGACAAAGCAAATTATTACATAGCTCATGTGGGAACAAACTGCTCTCCTCCCACAAAATCCAAAAGTTTCTGAATTAAAGACTGCTATCAAAGGGCTCCCTCCTTCCCCAGGCCGTAACTAGGCTATAAGCAGGGCCTTCTGCAAACTAAGGATGTGAAATGGTTAACCGCAGCTCCCTACCCACCACAGGCAAGGGGCTGCTCCAGCTTCATGGGGCCTGCTTAGGCAGAGGGTGTTCCAGCCCAGCCTGTCCACGGCTTCCCTGCTTCCCCTTTCCATCTGTTAACTGGTTAAACACTACAGTTAACCAGTTAAACAGGATTTTACATCCCTATTGCAAACTGATTAGCTACTTCTTCCAGCATTTTTTCTAGATTCTATTACTAATTTAACCTGAGCACTAACCTGGAGTTGGGGTTTCTCAAGAACTGCATCTGGTGGAACAAAGTGCTCCAGTTCATATTGATAAGGATGAGCAAACCTGCATGAATTTTAAAAAAGGAATGTTTATCATTCCAATCAGCTTCACTGAGCAAAAGGCAGCAGTTATCAAAAGATAATCTTTGTGAACCACCGCAGTTCGCCTAGTATTGACCAGAAAGCCAAGCATAGGGGAGATGTGTTACACATAGGGTTAAAAAAATTATGAATATAAATGAGGCAGCTACAAGTGAAGAAACATGCATATACACTGACACACAGAAGAGCTACGAGGTACTGCATGAGACAGGTACATGCATAAAAGAACTGCATATAAAATGCATGTAAATCTATTCTATTTCCAACACTCTTAATTTAATTTCTTACATGTCTTGTTCAGTCTGCTGAATCCTCTGTTGATGGAGGAAATCAGCTAGAGCAGCTGGTACATCCAAATCCTCAGGACGCTCCTTTCGTTCCCGCCTGCTTTTTGCGAGTGCTTAATAATCAAGATTGAAAAATTAGACAAAGCTACAAATAATGCATATTCAAGTTTTTCTCCCCAATGTCTAACCTAAAACCCATTAAATCATTAAGTACTACTAGAAACCCCTGAACACTCCTGGCTTTCTGCTTTTAAACACACAATGCTGCTTTTAAATACAAGATTTCTATCTGTGTCTCATTTTATAACACAGTAGTAGGTACGACAAGGACATATGTCACCCTGCAGAGACTAAGTAAGATGAGCAATACTTTCCCAGACCTCTGCTGAAGAGGTTGTTATATAACAAAAAATGTTAAAAATTTAATCAGATGGGGCGTGAGCATCTTAAGGATGAATAATTCTGGCTGCCAAACACTGCTCCGCAATGGAAAGGCAGCTAGCAGCTATACCTCCATTATGTCTACTGTTAGACAGTGATGAAAAATAATAAATCCAAGTCAAATCAACTGTTGGTAGCTACAACTGCAATTGCATTTTAATGGAGAAATGCTGATTGGGCTAGCAACAGAATGACAGATCGCAAAGACTTGGGATGTTACTGGAAGGTGGGGGAGAAGAACTACTGAAGCTTTATTTGTCTTGTCTCCATTATTTGGATAAGAAAGCCAAAACAAAGAAGCTCACATAAATTTTTTTTATTGCACCAATAAAAAGAGTGTTATTTCTTCTAAGCTCGGCAGCATTTATGGATGAGCTGATACTGCATGACATCAATAAGAGCCTGATTCCTAACTTTAGCAGGAGCAGCTCCAAAACACATTTTGTATTACAGATTGTTAATGTGCACCCACAGACATTTTATACAGACTTGACTAATAAAAAAACAAGATGCTCACTGCTTACAAAAAGGGTTTTAGTATCCTTCTGAGATGCTCATTCTTTAGACTCAATTTCTTCTTGCTTGTGAGGACTGGTTTCTGTCTGATGTTCGTATTAATATTAATTATTATTAACACCTAGCTCATCTTGTATGCTACCCAAGGTAAACAAAATCCTCTTACTCTGGCCTCCTTACCTTCAGGCAATGGTTTCAGAGCATTGGGTTTCACAAAAAGCTTAGGTATGAAGGGGGTGTTGGAATTGTCAATCTTCTCTCGAAATCTGAGCTGTGGTCGAGTGATATTCTTGGCATGTAGCAATCGGAAGATTTCAGACTTTGTTCTGTGGGATTCTCCACTCTGTTTAAAAAACAACGTGTCTGAATGGATTTTGAGATAGTCTATTAAGACTTGCCTATATGCATCTGAATATTAAGCTCCTGAAACTAGGACACAGTATCTAAGGCCTATACACCAGCATCTAAATTAGGTGCCCCCAGGGACCTGACATCAGATTAAAGAGATCTATGGGCATAAAGTGTAGATTCGAAACCAGGGGATCCTGAATCTGGAGTAAAGAGAGGCTACTGAACTCCTAACTACCATCACAACTCAAAGTCTAAATAAAAAGCTCAAATTAATTAAAATCAATTTACTGTAGAAGTTTCACCTTGCGGTTCCAACTGGAAATGATCGTCTTTGGGACTTGCATCCCTGCAGGAAGGATAGGTTGCTGGTTCTTGTTCACTCCTGCTGCTTCATCTAGTAAAATACCCTGAAATTTGGGAAAAGAAGTATAAGCAAAACTGTATGAAACATCTAGTAGTTGGCAGTCTGCCCTGCCTGAAAGAAGAGAAATGTGCAGCTGTCGCCATGTTCATCTCCTTGGAATTTTGTAATGGGCAAGAGTGGTCAAAGGCTAAATATGAAATCCTAATATTAGAGACTGGGAGAAGCAATTGCCAAAGAATCAAAGTTGAATTTCTTCAGAGATATTTATGTGCTGATCACCCTACTTCCATACTTTCCTCTCGTATCTTACTCTACACTCTGCCCGGTTTTGAGATAGGCTAATACAGAGTTAATCTTGCATCTAATTTGCTTTTCAAAACATGATAAGCAAACAGCTCTCAGCCATGCTGAGAAATTAACCATTATTATAATAGAGGTGGCACCATTATTATTATTATAGTGGCTGAGGCACTGGTCTGGGAGTCAGGAACCCGCCCCCCCTTTTATATGATAGCAGCATCTAGTAACCCCAACTGATATCAGGCACATATCATTCTAGGCACAGCATAGGCAAATCATAAGAGCGTCCTTGACCCAAAAAGCTGATAGTTTAAATAGATAAAAGGTTGTAAGGAAAGCTGAGGCCCACAAAAGTAATATGATTTGCTCGAGGTCACACCACACGTTAATGGCAATGCCAGAAATAGACTTGGAGTGCTGGATTCCCAGCCCCAGATCACATGGCATTTCTTAAGCATGTTTCACACTCACTTTGCACAAGCATAAAGATTGCATGAGGTTCCAGACAGCAGAGAATAAAATTGTGGGAGGCTACAGTACCATAGCCGAATGTGCCATTACTGAGGTCTAGGAAGCGCTGATTTAGATCTCTGGTTTAAGAGACTTTACTTTTGAATGCAAGTGGCACTGTGGACTCAGCCACATGGTCAATTTAATCAGCTACCAATCTGTTCTTCTTTATGGTTGGGGTAACTATTCCAGCTCCCTTGGAGTAGTTATGGAACATCTATTCTGGCAGATGTACACAAGCAGCCTTCTCTCTCGTTTGCAATGGAAATGTTTGTTTGACTATGTCTGGTGTTTAGGAACAGTTGCAGCCCTGATTTCTATTCCTTCTGCTGTGTGACCTAGAGCAGTGGTCCCCAACGTGGTGCCTGAGGGTGCCATGGCGCCCGTCAGGCCATTTCTGTGCACCCGCTGAGTGATGGGGCCAGCCCCGGCCCTGGGCATGTGGTGCATGGGCAGTGCCAGCCCCTGGGCGTGCAGCGTAAGGGTGGCCCCGCCCCTGGGTGCGCGGCACATGGGTTGTGCTGGCCCTGGGCACGCGGTGTATGAGCGTCCCTGCCCCTGGGCACATGGCTCAGGAGTGGCACTTGCCCCAGGAGTGCGGCGCATGGATGGTGCTGGCACTGGGCACGCGGCGTATGGGCGGCCCCGGCCCCATAGCGCGCGGCTTTGGGTGGCCCCGCCCCCGGGCCTCCGGCGCGGCCCCAAAAGGTTGGGGACCACTGACCTAGAGAAATCACGTGTTCTCTCTGTGTCTCTGCTTTCCCTTCCACCATTTGCCTTTCTTATTTAGACAGTAAGTTTTCCAGCCAAGGGGCAGTTTAGCTGTATGTACAGCACATAATACAATGGGTCCCAATATCTATTGGTGTCCTTTGGTGCTACCGTCATACAAGTAAGCATTCTTGCTCAGTTCCACCCTACTGCTGATTAGAAATGTAGAAAAAAAATGATAGCTCAGAAAAATAACTTCCCATTGGGATTTAATTTTTTTTTAAACTAGAGATATCTAAAAGAGTTACTAGAAGAGAAAAAAAAACGTTAAAAATGGAAGTCTGAGAATGAGGAACAAAGTGTAATTACTAAATATTGCCATTCCAAATCCTATAGAAAGCAGGATCTACTGAATCATTACAAGATTAAAAAAAGAAAGTTCTCTCACCACTTTTTCAAGAATTACATCATTGGAATCGACCAGCAAATCAAATTTATCTTCCAGCTCTGTTGCTTTGTTATGATCCTTCACGTGACTCCGACAACCATGATATTGCATCACCTTGCTCATACTAATAAAACAATAGTTCAGTTACTCTTTAAATGACATTAAAAGCAGGTATTCTGAAAACTGGTGTTATTTGTTAAGATCCTTTCTGAGCTCTGGCTACTCCGAGACTTACAAAATCAGACACAGACTCCTTAGATACTGTTGTAAGAACTTTGAAAATGAGAAGCTATGAGTAAGTACTAAGTATTGCTATTAATTTCTTTACTGGGTCTATGGAACTTAGATTGGGTCTTCTGGTTAAAAAGTCACCTTTCCATCAGCCCATACCTACTCAGTGGCGCACCTAAATTGTTACAGTTACTTTACAGAGGTAAAATGAATGACTCCATTTTTATTGTTACCATTTAAATTTCATGAATCAGAAAAGCAGCTGACATTTTTAAAAAGCAACAGAAAAATTGTAATAAAAATGCTCATATATTGTTTTATTTTGAAATTTGCAAAGAAGAGACTTCTCTGTTCCCTAACACAGATTTTCACCACTGGCATAAGAAAGCTAAAAAGTCCTTACCAGTGAAGCAGCCTATCACCTTGTGTTTCACAGTATGCCCGGAATCCAGGAAAGCTGCGATAGAAGTCATATTCATCTCCAGGCTGAGGTAGCCCATTAGATGCTTTAGTTGCAGCGACCACTGTGCCAAGCGCATGCTGTTAAAAAGCATCACACCAAGAAAATATAATTCCACAATGTATTTTCATTTTTCGATGATCTTGCCAGATGAACACCTTCCTCGCACTTACATTACTATTACAATCTCATTCCTCGCACTTACATTACTATTCCTAAACCAAGCCACAACTAGGCCTTTTTAACCAAGAGTGTTTACAACTATTTCATCCTGACTTAATTAAACTAATACTAAAAAAATAAAAGAAAAACCTTACACCAAAGATATTTTGATTTAATAAAAATATGGGTATAATGGCTACAACTTCAGAACTAGGAAGTGCTGTCTCTAAGGTGGGGGGGATTTCTCAAATGTCATTGCACTGTGAACCCTTTCTGAACTGAAACCTGAATCCACCCAAGTCCCACCACCATAGGTTTTGGCCCTGGATGGTAGGGCTCAGGGCTGAAGCAAGTCTAAGCCAACCCTGGTGACCACATTAAAATGGGCTTGTGACCCATAGTTTGAGAACCATTGCTCTAGGCCATATCTAGACTATAAAATTAAATCAATCTAACTTACACTGGTACACAACTGCTGGAATAATTGCATCGCTTGTGCATGTTTACACTTTGCTCCTTGTGTTACTGGTGCATTTGTATAGATTTTACTGTCACTGTGAAGCATTTAGGGAAGCTAGTAACAGTCTATACAATAATGTCATGTGTACACTGTTACTGAATCAATGTAACTACATTAATTTTGATTCTATGCTACTAAGTGGTGAAATTATTGGGGCAGTTAAGTTGGCAGGAGTGAAAGTCTGGACACTTTCATGGTTAGGTCAACGTAAGATGCCTTGCATCAATCTAACTCTGTTGTGTAGACCTTGTGTAGCTCAGATTTTGGTCTATAAGGTGCATGGGTGAGGGAACGTGTAGGAATTAAGTTTGTAGTGATGGCAACACTATGGTTTGTAAATCAATGTGTAGAACACTCTGTCAAGCTTCAGTTAACAATTCCTTTTAAAAGTTCATCTATATGCTAAAATTAAGGTCTAACGGTTGAACACATTTTGAAAGCCATTCTTGCTGTACCATAGTGATAATTTAAGAATACAGAGAATCCCACCACACCAGTGCTGCCAAATTTGTGGGTTTCTTCTGAATTTTTCCTGTTAAGACAAATAACTAAATTTAAGGATGCTTTCAGCACCACAGCCCATTCATGAGCTACTACAGGTGTTTATGTCCTATTTATCTCACCACCATGATTCTAGTTCTCCAGACTCCCCTGCAGGGAATGCCTTAGCTCAGTGTTTGAGAAAGGCTGCGGAGCCCCAGGGCTCTGCAAGGTTGACAAACTGGAAACATCGATAGGCACAACACATACAATCAGTGGACCGCTGGGGCTCCGCATAAATTTTTACACATGTAAAGGGCTCCGGAGCCGAAGAAGTTTGAGAACCGCTGCCGTGGCTAATTTGAAAGGTTATGCGGACAACTTCCCAGGAATGGGAAGACAGTGCGATATTCGGAAAACAGGAGACTGCAGCCGGGGCCCACACAGACAACAGGCCCGCGTGCACCACGCTAGTCCCAGGGCCCGCGGCTCGCACCGCTTCATTTAACAGGCCTGCACACGTGACACAAGTCAGGCCAGTGGGCTGCAGGGGCCCCCCTCTCCCAGGGCAAAAGGAGCTAAGGCGGCGGCGCCCAGACACCGGGAGGCCGTATCGGAGAGGGAGGGGCGGGCAGACAGGAGCTGAGGGGG